TCAGTTCTAGTCAGTTCTAGTTCAGTTCTAGTTCAGTTCTAGTTCAGTTCTAGTTCCAGTTCTAGTTCCAGTTCAGTTCTAGTTCAGTTCTAGTTCAGTTCTAGTTCAGTTCTAGTCAGTTCTAGTTCAGTTCTAGTTCAGTTCTAGTTCAGTTCTAGTTCAGTTCTATTTCAGTTCTAGTTCAGTTCTAGTTCAGTTCTAGTTCAGTTCTAGTTCAGTTCTAGTTCAGTTCTAGTTCAGTTCTAGTTCAGTTCTAGTTCAGTTCTAGTTCAGTTCTAGTTCAGTTCTATTTCAGTTCTAGTTCAGTTCTAGTTCAGTTCTAGTTCAGTTCTAGTTCAGTTCTAGTTCAGTTCTAGTTCAGTTCTAGTTCAGTTCTAGTTCAGTTCTAGTTCAGTTCTAGTTCAGTTCTAGTTCAGTTCTAGTTCAGTTCTAGTTCAGTTCTAGTTCAGTTCTAGTTCTAGTTCAGTTCTAGTTCAGTTCTAGTTCAGTTCTAGTTCAGTTCTAGTTCAGTTCTAGTTCAGTTCTAGTTCAGTTCAGTTCTAGTTCAGTTCTAGTTCAGTTCTAGTTCAGTTCTAGTTCAGTTCTAGTTCAGTTCTAGTTCAGTTCTAGTTCAGTTCTAGTTCAGTTCTAGTTCAGTTCTAGTTCAGTTCTAGTTCAGTTCTAGTTCAGTTCTAGTTCAGTTCTAGTTCAGTTCTAGTTCAGTTCTAGTTCAGTTCTAGTTCAGTTCTAGTTCAGTTCTAGTTCAGTTCTAGTCAGTTCTAGTTCAGTTCTAGTTCAGTTCTAGTTCAGTTCTAGTTCAGTTCTAGTTCAGTTCTAGTTCAGTTCTAGTTCAGTTCTAGTTCAGTTCTAGTTCAGTTCTAGTTCAGTTCTAGTTCAGTTCTAGTTCAGTTCTAGTTCAGTTCTAGTTCAGTTCTAGTTCAGTTCTAGTTCAGTTCTAGTCAGTTCTAGTTCAGTTCTAGTTCAGTTCTAGTTCAGTTCTAGTTCAGTTCTAGTTCAGTTCTAGTTCAGTTCTAGTTCAGTTTCTAGTTCTAGTTCTAGTTCAGTTCTAGTTCTGTTCTAGTTCAGTTCTAGGTTCAGTTCTAGTTCAGTTCTAGTTCAGTTCTAGTTCGTTCTAGTTCAGTTCTAGTTCAGTTCTAGTTCTGTTCTAGTTCTAGTTCTAGTTCATGTTCTAGTTCAGTTCTAGTTCAGTTCTAGTTCTAGTTCTAGTTTCTAGTTCAGTTCTAGTTCAGTTCTAGTCAGTTCTAGTTCAGTTCTAGTTCAGTTCTAGTTCAGTTCTAGTTCAGTTCTAGTTCGTTCTAGTTCAGTTCTAGTTCAGTTCTAGTTCAGTTCTAGTTCAGTTCTAGTTCAGTTCTAGTTCAGTTCTAGTTCAGTTTCTAGTTCAGTTCTAGTTCAGTTCTAGTTCAGTTCTAGTTCAGTTCTAGTTCAGTTTCTAGTTCAGTTCTAGTTCAGTTCTAGTTCAGTTCTAGTTCAGTTCTAGTTCAGTTCTAGTTAGTTCTAGTTCAGTTCTAGTTCAGTTCTATTTCAGTTCTAGTTCAGTTCTAGTTCTAGTTCACTTCCAGTTCACTTCTAATTCTGTTCTAGTTCTGTTCTAGTTCTGTTCTAGATCTGTTCTAGTTCTGTTCTAGTTCTGTTCTAGTTCTGTTCTAGTTCTGTTCTAGTTCTGTTCTAGTTCTGTTCTAGTTCTGTTCTAGTTCTGTTCTAGTTCTGTTCTAGTTCTGTTCTAGTTCTGTTCTAGTTCTGTTCTAGTTCTGTTCTAGTTCTGTTCTAGTTCTGTTCTAGTTCTGTTTCTAGTTCTGTTCTAGTTCTGTTCTAGTTCTGTTCTAGTTCTGTTCTAGTTATGTTCTACTTCTGTTCTAGTTCTGTTCTAGTTCTTTTCTAGTTCTGTTCTAGTTCTGTTCCAGTTCTGTTCCAGTTCTGTTCTAGTTCTGTTCTAGTTCTGTTCTAGTTCTATTTCTTTCACTATTTTCCTCTAAACTCCCTTCCTTCAACGAAAAGTTGAAACTCTTTCCACATTTCCTTTTGCATAATATTTTGCTATAAACTAATATCCGAATGCTTTACAAAATAATTACAAAAAATTTTCTTAGCTAGACATTAAAAATAATTTTCATTGTCCATCATACAGGTGTCTACATGTCTAAGCAAATACAACACCCATCAAATTTTCTTACGAGACATTTTTTATTATTACTTTTTCTTTTCGTAATGCAAATAACTTGACACTAGTTTGGATGCAGCGCAGAAAAACTTGATAGATGAGATTAAAAGACAATTACAAAAAAAATGTAAAAGTATGACACAATTTTAAGATCCTTATGGAAATGTTATAGAAGATGAAATGGTTTCAGAGTTGCATATAAATTAGAAGTTTACTCATTTTAGTTCAAAGTTCTAAAATTGATGGAGTTGAACCTCTCTCCTTCTTGTGAACATTGAACTCAGAGATCTGTTGAAGATCTCTTAGTTTAAACGATCTTATTAATGGATTTCCGATTTGCATAGGTGCTTTTGGACAGTCTTAGATAAATTGACTTCTAACATTTATAACACTACAAGATCTCATTTCCTAAAGATCCGCTAAGAGTCTTACAACTTTGGTATTAAGTATAAAGTAAATAGCTTTGACAGTTTAGTTTGCTGTAATTCAATTTAATGACTTACAAGCAAAGTTATAGACTGTGTTAACTCTTTTGAGTGGCGTGTGCGCTTGAGCCTTTCATGTGGCAATTCGCACCAAGTGCAACTTCAAACTACAATTCAAATCTTTTATACTTTAGGTAACAAACCGACAGTCGCACCACACATTAAACTAACAACAATTTGTGTTATTTGTTGATCTTGTTAAGACTATAACGCCTTTTGGCCATTTCAATGAAAACACGAACAAAAACCCTCTCTTACTCATAGGCAAACATTGGAAACATATGAAAATTGTTGTCGAGAAAAATAAACTGACATTATGTCCATGTCAGAGATGAATAAAAATGTTCTAGGAATTAAGACGGGGTGGGGGTAATGATTTAACTGGAAATTGTTTTTTTTTTGGTCTTTATTGAATATATCATAATGTACGTACATTTACAAAAAGAGAGCCAGAGAAAATGTAATGTTGATTTGGATTTATAACCAACACTTGCTCAGATTTATGACTAAACAAACTGGTCAGAGGAGTTGCCTATTAAATCTGTATAAAATCAGTATTATTTCTTTCTATTTTATTTTTTCTTGAACACACAGTAGTGGTTTATTTATCATTGTTGCTGGATTGTATACCTTTTTTTTGAAAATCTGGTGGTCTTGTACTCTCAGCCACATATTCCAGCTAGGTGACAGCTTATCTTGTTTTTTGACAAGTCTTTGGGTTTGTGTTTTTTTCTTACTCTTTTTTCTATTATTTTTTTATTTAAATTATGTTTTGGTTTAAAGTCGTTATAAAGGAATCTAATGTTAAGATTGTATAGAGTTAAAAGAAAAATGTTTAACAAATTCAATTGAAATTTAATTAATTAGTTGACAGTTGGATTGACACTTGCACAGTATGTTTTCGAAGAGAGAGAGAGGGTTATGTTTGTTAACGGGTTAATAGATTTCTTTGTTGCTTTTTTATACTATTCTATTCTTCGTTAGAATTTTTCTGAAATTATAAGGAATTTGTTAGATTCATAATCTAATAAATCAAATCTTATGACTACATTTCAAATGATTGAAAAAAGTTTCTTTTTATATTGCAATTGAAGGTTTTAGAATTGATGAGGAGTTTGATTATTTGAAACTCTGCTCTAAAGGCAACTCAAAGTACTTGAAACATTTAAAAAAATAAAGAACTTTTTAACTCACGACTGAGTAAATAAAACTGGTTCCGTCAGGGAACACCGTAAGCAATAATTTTTAGTTTTCTTTTATGAACAGAACTAAAACAGAACTAGAACAGAACTAGAACAGAACTAGAACAGAACTAGAACAGAACTAGAACAGAACTAGAACAAAACTAGAACAGAACTAGAACAGAACTAGAACAGAACTAGAACAGAACTAGAACAGAACTAGAACAGAACTAGAACAGAACTAGAACAGAACTAGAACAGAACTAGAACAGAACTAGAACAGAACTAGAACAGAACTAGAACAGAACTAGAACAGAACTAGAACAGAACTAGAACAGAACTAGAACAGAACTAGAACAGAACTAGAACAGAGCTAGAACAGAACTAGAACAGAACTAGAACAGAACTAGAACTAGAACAGAACTTGAGCAGAACTTGAGTAGAACTAGAATAGAACTAGAACAGAACAGAACTAGAACAGAACTAGAACAGAACTAGAACAGAACTAGAACAGAACTAGAACAGAACTAGAACAGAACTAGAACAGAACTAGAACAGAACTAGAACAGAACTAGAACAGAACTAGAACAGAACTAGAACAGAACTAGAAAGAACTAGAACAGAACTAGAACAGAACTAGAACAGAACTAAAACAGAACTAGAACAGAACTAAAATAGAACTAGAACAGAACTAGAAGAGAACTAGAACAGAACTAGAACAGAACTAGAACAGAACTAGAACAGAACTAGAACAGAACTAGAACAGAACTAGAACAGAACAAGAACAGAACAAGAACAGAACTAGAACAGAACTAGAACAGAACTAGAACTGAACTACAACAAGAAAAAAGCCAGACTATAACCAAGACTATAGCGAAAACTATAGACAGTAAGTGCAATTGAAATTTCCTTAAGTTTTTTTAGTATTTTAAAATGTCTTTACAAAGTGTATGGGAATAAGGGATCTCTTGATCTTACGAAAAAGAAGTTATCATTTTTTATAATTGTCTCAATAAGCAGTCATCACATTCAATTTCATAATTTAAGTATTTATGTAAATTTAAATTAATTTTTGATGTGGATACACAATAAAACTCTAATCTATTAATAACTATTAATATGCTAATAAGTGTTTAAATATCTTGTTTTCTTTTTCTATCTCATAAATATTCACAGGAAGGTTTTACAGATCCGCCCTCAACATCATCGATAAGTCGCTTGTTAAGGGGTAACGATCGCAGCAGTGATGATGGACGTAAAGATTATAGTATACACGGTATATTAGGCGGTAAGTCAACTAACTAACAAAACATACAAAACTAACTTTAATTAATTAAAACACCTTCCAAAAAATATTTCTGAAAGAAGAAAAAAACAAACACTTGTTTGTCCCTTTTTTCTGTAAATAGAGGGTTTTAGTGAAAGAAGTAGAAGAAAAAAACTAGAAATCACTATTTTTGATCAAATTATAGATCATTTATTTGATAATTTGAAAATCATCATCAAATCATTTGTTGCACAAATCAACAGCATCGATAACACACCACAAAGCGGCGGCATTTTAACTTTGATCGTCTTAAAGAAACTTAGTGAGTTTTTTTTTTAAACAAAACACAACACTGAAAAGCCGCTCGAAGAAACCAACAGCTAAACAAAAGACTTTTTAGTTGGTTGGTAGAGGGGCAATCGGATTTTTAGTTTTTGTTTAAAGATTTTTCCCATTAGGTTCTCATCAAAACCCATAAAAATCTATAACATTCTAACAGCCGAGTGTACAGACGGACGGACAGACATTGAAATACATGACCAGCTAGCAAAGTGTTGATGATGACACCTTAGAAAATGATAATGATTATTATTTTACATTTCGTTTTCTTTAAATTTTTCTTTATCTTTTACTTGTACTTGCTATGTTACAAAAAAAAAATACGAAAGAAAAAGGTTTCAACCAAAAACACAATTAATAAGCTAGATTTTTTCAACTTGAAGATGTTTTTGGAAAGTAAGAAAATAAAAAGGCTAATTCTATAAATATGCAAAGTCATGCGATAAACGATCTCTAAAATATGTTAGTTGTTGGAATATATATAAGTAAAAACAAAACCTTAAAAAATAAATATAAACTGATAAAATAAAATCGATCTAGAGAGAGAGAAACAATATGTTGTAAAAGTGTTAATGATCTAAAAATGTTATTGTTAAGAAAATTGAGTAGAAAATTGTGTTTTTAGTTTAATTATGGAAGAAGAAAAGTGGAAAATATCTAATAATATGTAGAAAGTTTGGACTTGATGTGTTACATAGAGTTAACTCTTTTGCCATTAGAGACAAGAAAGATTCTCTATGAATCTTACTGTCATTAGTTGGCGAAAGTATTGCTGATTGCTTACCAAATGTATTAAGTTTAATTAGAGAAACAATTTAACTTCATAGAGACAATGAGGATCCGCTCATCAACCCGGTAATCTAGAGAAAAGCTATCCGATACCACAAAACCCTTACATTGGAAGTTTAAGGCATTCTTAACTTCTGAACTCAAACTCCCAGGAGGAACGCTCCTTGTTTTTTTCAATAATTGTTCGGCAGAGTTCGGTAGTAATAGAGAAGGTAGCCAATAGTTTCCTTCCCTTCTTCATTATGACTCACTTTTCAATAGATCGATCCATCATCTTGCATTTGCAATCTCTCAGAAGAGCTTCGCCGCATTTCCAATTTCTTATGATCTCAATAAAATATTTAATCCTGAAAACGATCTTTCCGAGTTTCCACAAAGCTATTACATTGATCTTTGTCTCCTAAAGAACGCTTAAGAGGTACTCTTTTTGTATTTCCAATAATTGTTCGGCAGATATCGTTGGTAAGAAATGAGATACCCACTCAGACCTTGCATTCTCAATAACTGATCAGAAGAATTGCCTCTCACTTCCGATTTCTTAATAGAAGATTTAATCTAGAGTACGAAAATTTCGGGTTTTAACCCTCAGATGGAAATCGAATCCACCACTTCCGGTCTATCAGACTAGAACACTAACCTCTAACCTATAGAAGGCCATATTGATTTTATTCTGCTATTAAACGCTTGGGATGAACTCTCTTTGTATTTCCAGTAATAGGTCAGCAGATATCGATAGTAATAGAGCAGGTGACCAATAGTTTCTTTCTCTCATTCACTCTGATACATCTGGCATAGAATGCCTTAAATGTCTTCATCAGAATAGTTGCCTCGCAGTTCCAGTTTTTTATAATATTTCTTCATAAAAGATTCAATCTACAAGTCGATTGAGTTGCCGATCACAGCCTCCTACAGATTCTTAACGCGGAACTCTCCTTAAATTTCCAAAAATTCCTCAACAGTGATCGATAGTGAAGGAGAGGTATCCAACAAAATCTTCTTCCCGTTCATTTGACTCTGACATCGTTTTCTGAGAGATCTATCAGGATTATATTGCATTCTCAATCTCTAGTCAGAGTATTTTTCTTATAATTTCATGCAGGCAGTTGATCAAGGTTACTGATCGCTGAACAGTTGATCAGAAGGTGACGATTTTCGAAGATTGCTTAGAAGAAGCCATTCAAGTTGTCTCAGTTGGCTGCTCTCGTTTACCATAATAACTCTTAAATAAGCCAATTTTTGGGAGATTCTAGTAGTCGAACAAACGATCAATAGTTGGCAATACCATTGATCGATGAACAGTTTCCGTTTTCCTACAGATATGACGACAGAGTACCCAATGGTTTCTTAATATTCATTATTATTACTCTGACATCGCTTGTAGATAGTTCCATAGAAATCATATTGCCTTCACAATCTCACGTCAGAGTATTTTCTTATAATTTCATTCAACTAATCGATCAATAAATGATTAGTAGGTATTGGTTTCCGACTAGAATACTCAATACTTTTTAAAGTATTTTCTGATCAAACCATAGATATTTTTCAATCGTTAAACTGTTGATCAGATAAGCTGCTTAGCAGTTGCAATCTCTTACAATTTCTCTTCATAGAAGATTCCATTCTTAACACACATCTAGCATTAACAATTTCTCATCAGAAGATGTCTCTCTTCGTCTACATTTGTTAGAGAACCTCCCTTTTGAACGAAGAAAGATCAAAATAAGTCATGAAGGAAGAAGTTGTCGCAATTTATAAATAGAACATAAGCCAATCTCATCATAAAACAATCTTATTAGTACCACGAAGCGGTATATTACTCAACCGACCATATAACAGAAGTAGTAAGATCATCTGGTGTTCGTTTACAAGAGATCCGATCATCAGTAGTTGCACATTTGTTCTTCAGTTTACAGACGATATGGCGCCTGTTACCTTGTAGTTGACAATGTTCCTAAACCCTTTATTGGTTCCACGAAGCGGCAAATTAATCAACCGATCATCAGCAGTCGGTTCTAATGATCAATGTGCATTCATTCTCAATTTAATACACGAAGTAAGATCATTTGATGTTCATTTTCAAGAGATCCGATCATCAGTAGTTCCACATTTGTTCTCCAGTTTACAGATATGTTCCTAAACTCCTCATCATTACGACGAAGCGGTATATTAAGTATCAAATCAAAACCTCTACTGTTAGCTCGATCATCAGTAGTCGGTTATAATGATCATTTAATAGACGCAGTAAAATCATCTGATGTTCGTTTGAAAAGTGATCCGATCATCAGTAGTAGATGCTACTGATCCGTTCGCTATTCTCCAGTTTACAGACGACATGGTGTCTAAGTACAATCAAAACCTATACTATTAGCTTGATAAAAGAGATTGATTGAATCTTCTTAGATTGAGTTACCTCTTTCGGTCAGTAAATCCACAGAAAATTTACAATTTAGATGTCGTTTGACCTTAAAATTATAGAAACATCGTTGCTAAACAATCACTTAAACAAGTTTATATTAGATCGATCATCATCATCATCTCAAATCGAAGATTCTCTTAGAAAAGGAATTACAGTTTCCAATTACACTTTGTTTCCGAAGTCGCAAATTGTAGACCAAGAGTCCTGGAGCTCTCAACTGAATCTCTTTGCATAGACAGCATCTCTCTCGTCAGTCCCTTTGATAAACTCACTATTTGTATAAGTTTTAAATGAAGAAATGAGACCCCATTTAGAGTTCCCTAGCCAAAGTCCGTATTCCACCCATGATCAATACATTAAGGGGGAAAGTTTTGGGTATTTATCGATTCCTGTTTGCCAGTAGCCCCTGTGTCCTTAAATATTTTTATATTTTCCCTTACCAGGAAACGTTAACGCCACAATATCTCAAAAACCTAAGGTATACAAATCTTCTTAACAAATGTTAATTACCTTAACATACAATAACTTCAAGGATTTCTCTCTCCATTGTAGATCGTCGTCCTTTGAAGATCAAACAACGCTAACCGCATTATATTTAACAAAATAAATAAAAACAAGTGAAAAAAATAGACCTAAAATACAAATATTTTGCAAATAATGGTTTAAAAATTTTTATATATTGTTTTATAAAACAACAACATTTTATAACAATTGTCGTGGGAAATTGTCTTTAAAGTCAGGGTCGTTTACCTAAAAACATACAATACCGAAATGGGCTAGTGTTTATTGATAGAAGAAGGAAAAACATAATAACTTTGACAAAAACTAAGTAGTTTAAGATCAATGAAAGAAACAGTTTCTATAATTTTTTCCACTCACTATCTCCTTCTCTCTCTCTCTCTCCGTATTTTCTTAAGGTATCTGTGAATGAATGGAAAACCTTAAGAAACATGTGTGTGAGAGTGTGTGTTTGTATAGATTTTCATGTCACTTAAGGTGACAATATTTTGACATTTCTTGTCTCTAAAACTGTGACCTTGTCGCCGAAATTAAAACAAGGAAAAATACTTTTTTTGTTGCCTTAAAACAATAATGAATATTGATTTTTTTTTTGTATTGTGCAAAACAACAAAAACTGAAAGAAATGTTTACAAAATTGTATAGAAAATGTATACATATAAACAAATAAACAGGTCGGTTGCTAAATTTAATGATTTGTCTTTCAAGTCAAACAGCCAAAACTCATTAAAGTATGTTAAACAATTTAAAAAGTTTTTCTGTTTCGTAACGAATCTTTTCATTTTGTAATTATTTCTTTTGTTATAAAAGATGTCATAAAGTGGGAAAGGAATATATTATAAAGACAAGTTTGTATGATCAAAGTCGGCCGTGAGAAACCCTTAATTAGAAATATGCAAAAAGAAAGGAAAAGGTATCTTTTTCAATTTAGTTTCTGGACTAAAACCAAAATGAGAATAGTT